AAATATTTTTTTCTGTTCAAATATTTTTTTAATGTCATCATGGCACAAAGCTGGACTCAAAAAAACTGCAAAAATCAACCTTTCGGGTTTATTAAGAATTGAACTTTTTTTCATGATGAGGCAAAATAGGGTAGACGTACCAGTTATGGCTATACGTTCCCATTATGGTATGTTCCAAAATATTTTGCATTTAATTTTATTCGTGAATCTAAGGAAAAAATGATTTCGTTGATCTCTTTTCCGATATTTTTAGAAAAATCAAAACATGCCAGGTGCGCTAAGCTTCCCCATAAGAAGATTCTTATAGAAGCTTATTTTGGAAGCATATTCCTCTGATTAAAAAAGGTAGAACAGTACATCTGAGTAGCTAAGCAGTAAATGAGCCATTTTTAATCAGGGGTTGTGAAGGGGTTGTGAGTTCAGTTGCTAAGTTTTTCATAAAAATAGGTGGGATTCCATTTGATCCTGAACCTTTAGTGGCGTCCAAATCTCGTAGGCCATTCCAAATATCATGAATCGAAATGTTATTAACGTCAACAGTAGTTGAAAAGTCAGGAAAATAAGAAAAATATTCATAATCACGATCATTATCTGAAAATTTCGTGTATGTTTCTTGAAAAAAAAAGTGGCGAAAAGATTACACATATCATCAGAATTATTACCTTCCTTTTCATCCAATGTCATTTTTGATGGAAAGCTACATGATTTCATTTTAGTTTTGATGTAATTGAAGAAGTTTCTTGGACATGATTTAATTTCATTCTCAGTTTTTATGTTATACTCAGACAGTGCCAAAAAAATTGCATCATTAAGTTGATTACAAATACCTAAATAATTTTCGAGATTATAACGATTTTTATGTTTTCTGTATATTTTGTGAGCTTTTTGTTTACGATTTTTCAAGTTAATGATATGATTATTGAACCAAACCGGATATTTGGAGGAATAATTGCGTCGTCTCCTTTTTAATGGAATTTCCTCTTGAATTACGTCAAACAAAATTTTATAAAAAACCTCCACTGCACATTCAACATTTACCTGATCCTTAAAAATGGTTTTCTAATTTAGTCCATTGAATTTATTTTTAATATTATCATAATTAGCATTTTTGTAGTCGAACACATTTTCATACTCACTGTTGTTGGGGTGTTGACTGTCATAAACAAATATGGAATACTCGATTGCTGTGTGAAATGCTTCATTCTTCCATAAAGGAGAAATAGATTTACTTACACAGAAATCTTCATGTATATTCGTTAACAAGAAATCTAGGAAACAATGCTGTTGGTTTCTTACATGGTTTATTTGGTTTAATCCTAAAAACGCCATTTTTTCAAAAATAAATTGTAATGTTTCGTTTTCCCCAATGATTGTGAGAAGAAAACTCTCATTATCTGAATCAGGAATGAAATCAGCATTGCGTTGATTGAAATCTCCATAAATATGAATTTTGAATTCAGGGAGAAATTGAAATACGATTTCTTCAGTTATTTGGAAAAAGTTTTCATACGAGGACTTACAAGCGTAGTCTGGGGGAAAATAGACTGTGGCAATAATATGAGTTTCACCAGCTATATTTGTCTTTACCCACACATGCTCAAATTCTTTTACTTTCGATGAGACAATAAGTTCTGCAATAAATTTTGAAGACATAGCAATAAGAACTCTACCACCTGACATTCTTTGGATTTCGAGTAAGTCACGATCATCTTTGAAAACATTATAATCATTTCATTTTTAATGTTCTCGTTCCTACTAGTTTCAGTGCCCAAAATAACTGAAAAAGAGGAGCTCAGTATATTTTTATAAATTTCATTCATTTTTGTTGCGCTTTTCATGCGATTAAAATTCTGACAATATACCACAATTTCCGTAGAATGTGTTTCAGATGAAATTTTGGTTTGTTCGTCAGAGCTTAGAATATTATTAAAAATATCGGATTCATTACCAGTCACATCCGGTTCGTCACAGTCTGCCTCAGAAAAGTGCGTCAGGTCCATCTCCTGCGAAACGTCGTGATCCTGGTGAATTCCATTCTCAGCCGCATCCGGTACATCACAGACTACTTCTGAACAGAGCATCAGGTTGAGCAAAAACACATTTTCTTCCTCCAAATGGTGCGTCAATTGCGTTGAAAACACGAGTGCCTGCATGAGCACGCCTCATACGATGAAGCTGAAGTTGACCGGTTGGTTGGATGTGCTGTTATAGGTGGAAATTCAGCACTCGTCGGGCACGGGTTCAATATCTCTCCCCTTCGAAACTGAATTGTAGGCCGATAGTTAATGATCTCAGAGAAGTACTCTGTCAGGCGGAAGCAAGTGGTTGCCATTTTTTCTGCTTACTATGTGATTACCCTGAGCGCTGATGTTGTTATTGTTGCAGTTATTGTTGTAGTTGTTATAGTTATTGGAGATGTCTCTATTGTAGTTGGCGTGATTGGTGTTGCAGTTGTAGTTGTCGTTGTTTCTGTTGTAGTTGTTGTGGTTGATTTTGTTGTAGCTGTTGTTGTTTCTGCTACAATTGTGTGAGTTGTTGTTTTTGTTGAACATTTTTTGGTAGGCCCTTTTCTACTTCCTCCGCTTACTAGCCTCTGCGGCCATTTTTTGCTGGCTCAGATGTCGCGATTTTCGAGCATCGTACTCCGTCCAATCAGCTGTCCACACCTTCCTGTCGCCCAAAACCCTCCAACCGGAGTCGGCGGCATGAGATCCGACTTGAGCTTGGTTTTCGGTGACATGATTTTCTTTGTTGGTTCTGCTTGCTACGGCAATCAAATGGAAACTAATAAATTGGGTGATCCCTCTCCGCTCATATATCCTCCTATTGAATTCTAGAAACTTCGAAACAAATGTTATCAAGTGATTTGCAACAAAGTAGGTGATTTGTATTTATCGATTTCAATGATAGTTTGATTTGCTGTTGGACATACTGCAAGTATTGAAATTCTGAACTTTTCTTTCCACAGTAAATCACGAATAACTTTTTAACGGTTAAAAATGAGGTTAAAGTGTCTTTGGCAAAGTTTTTGCTTATAAAATTTCCCATATTTCTGTTGCATTTGATTGAACGCTATGTTTGATACCCACTTTTGATGATTGAATGCAGTGATGTACAACAAAAAACATCATTTTAGAGGATTTGAAAAATTGTAACTAACAAATTGGACACAGAACATGCCGTAGCAATTTTTTCTCTTATAGTTTTTAACCCTTGGGAATCTGCGAAAAATATAAAAGGGTGAGATTTCACTGAAATTTAAAGAACTAAAAATTTTTATTGGATAAAAGCTATGAAAAATGAACTTTTTTTCAAAAATCTCGTCGGGGCGACCTCTAAAAAACATTTCAAAGAGTTGCTGCAATACAAAAGTTTGTTTGTAACACGCTTAGCTATCATTTGGAGGGTGAGCCTCCAGATTTCCAGTCATAGTGCAATTTTGGGACACCCTAATGACGATGCTGTAGAAAGATACCATGGTCCCATAGAACATTATTGAATGTTTCTGGATTTGTTCCGCTGGTTAGAAAGCAATGGCCGAAACATACTCCGGTGAGTATGGGTCTTCATCAGACCAGAGCTTTTTATAAACGAGCCAAACCCCCCATGCGATAAATCAATTCACATGAGAATTCAAAAATAAGATCAATAAGAGTCATGATGAGCGACCAGCACCATGTTGGCCACACCCGGACATGTTCCGGGTATCCCCGGGGGAGTGGTAAATCCTTTTTTTTTTCATCAAGCGATACATCAAATCACATGATAATTCAAAGCCATATCGATTGGCGGTCAAACTGAGTATCGTAACAACTATATTGGCCACATCCGGACATGTTCCAGATACCATAGGGAAAGTGGGCAAAATCTGTCTTGGCACAAATCTCATGATGCGATGTGTTGTCTAACATTTCTAACATATTTTTTCTAATGGGACTGCGGTTACTTTTCGCTGTGGGACAATTTGATTTGGTATTGTTTTTCATTTTCCTTGAACAAACCACCTTTTTTCAATAGCATATCTCAAAAAACATAGAAAGATAAACTGAATAATGATGCTAACTCAAAATTGATAAAAATGCAGATGGAACTGACTTGCGATTACCGGCAGTATAGTCCTACGTCAAAAATAGTTATTTTGAGTAGTCTACACAGGTTTGAGACTTTTGCGCGTATTACGGCTATAAAGAACTAAATTACACATTAGATGAAAAAAAAATTGAAACTTATTTGGAAGAAGCCTTGATTTAGTAGTAAGTGACTGAATGTCGGGAGTTCATTGAAAATCATTATTGCATAAAATTATGATAGCATCATATTGTGTGGTTGCTAGTGTAATAGGATGCTTTGTTGATTATTCATGAACTCTTGATCGCTGAGAATACTTATGAATATTTTAGGTGGACACTGAAGCTTTTTCACATTTATATCGCTGTGAAGCAACTGTAAACTGTAGAGGGAATTTATATCTGTAACTGAAACCATTTCGTTTTTGTTTGCTAATCTGGTTAAGATATTATAGAGGAAATGGATGCAATGTCGACCTAAATGCACCTAATTTGGGCCCATGCATAAATTCAGCAATCGAATAAATTTTCAATAGCGACCAAAAATATCCATTAGTGCCGTCCCAATACCGCGTTCATCTAGATAAAATTGATAAATAGCGGATTTTTAGCAATGGGCACAACCTTAAATCCATAGGCCAACACTAGAGCCATTTCCCCATACATACTTAATATTATTATAAATTAAGTCTTTACTTTGCAGCAACGTATCAATTTCGGAATCATTTAGCACTGTTCTCTCAGTATGTAGCTTATTGAATAACTTTCGGAGAAATAAGAACAAAAAAACAATTTCAGATCAGTTATTAATTTTTATTAAACTACAAGAAGTAAGTGTTACGCGCATATTAAAAATTTTCAAAACTTAACAAATATGAGTTATATGACGGACTTATAGTAAAATAAATAAAAAGTTAGTTTCTACCATTAATATGCTATTTCAAGGCACGGTAAAGCGATTAATTCCTTTGCTTTAATGTTTGTACTAGTTTATCGACGGTATGGTTGCTTGGAGTACTGTCCACGTTCGTTTTCGTTCTTCTGTACAACAAAAAAGCTGTATACAACTGCCCACATGTAAGTATAGATAACTGGAAAGAAAAAAATGCAATTAGTGTCAGTCAATTATGCATCTTAACGCTAAGCAATGGCTTAGCACAGGCTTAGCAACACAGGCTTAGTAAAAAAAAATGTATATTTATTACCCGTCTGTCAGGGATGACGCACATATTATGTCAAGCTCCAAGAAGGAAGGGTGGGGTGTAAGATTCATTGACAAGCAATGTACTTGGTACATGAAAAACGTCACGAAAGTGTGGAGGCGGTACATGTTTCCTCAACTTATCGGGACATAATTAATGCATGGCCCCTCACTATTTTTTCCCTGCAGTAAATAAAGCAATACATTCTTAATCGAAGCATCAAGTGCTATGAACAGTTTTTTCCACACGGTCCTTAATCCAACGGACGAGTAAAATATCACGGCCTATTTTACACACTCATTTGCTGCACCAATATTGATGATACACATAAGAAACTTCTAGCCTACACTCGAGGCTTCAAGTTTCAGAGCCTATCTTTGAAGACGACCATCAGTGCATAGAAAAAATAAATCATAGCACCATGAACATGAACAGAGTATGGTAGGATGGTGCAAAACGCACCGTTTAAGAAAAATCGTCAATTTCTGGCGTATGGAAGATAAAATCAAGAAGAAAGTAATCAGTCCGCATCGTGCTCTCTTCCCGTGCGGATCTATTTGCTTTTTGCTGAAGGAAGTGTTACTACTACCTAAAGCTACAACAAATTTAAACAGCACTTTTCAGTGCTCAACCTGTAAAAATTTTCTACCTTGTTCAACTCTTATTCCTCTTCGATCCTTGTTTGGACCCTACCCGAGGTAATCCTTCTTGGATATCGATTTGGAAAATTCCTCTTCGATCCTTCAGATTCTTATAGTAATCTGCTTGGAAGTCGATCTGGATAAAAATTTACTGCCGCCATGGCGCCTAAACGCAAAAGAAAGGGGCAAACTCTTGACCCCCCTTCTGATGAAATTAATTTGAGTAATCAATTTGATTTGCTCACGGATGATGAGAATGATCCATCATCCAAGAAAAATTCTAGTAAACTTTCCCGGCTTAATGCCAAAAAGGAAAAGATTCCCCCTATTGTGATAACCACTACCGATTTCCATGCTCTTCGCATGGAACTTTTGAATTTCGTGAAAGTTAAGTTTTCACTACAAATTGGACGTCGGGGTGAATGCCGTGTATTGGCTGAAACCTTGGACGGATTTAAATGTCTTCTCAAGTATCTTACTGAGAAGAAGCACAAATTTTTTACTTACGACACCAAAACTGAACGTGTGTTCAAGGTTGTCATGAAAGGACTGCCCAGTGGTGAATCCCTGGATCAGATCAAAGATGAACTGGCAAAATTACTTGGAGTTGTGCCACTCCAAGTAATCAAAATGAAAATGAAATCCCGTCCTGGCGATTCGCGCAACGGGATTTCTAATGATTTTTATTTAGCTCACTTCAAGTCTAGTGAACTAAACAACCTTAAGGCCTTAGAAAAAGCTAGCCTTATGCTCCATGTCCGAGTGAAGTGGGAACACTTCAGGAAGACTGGAGGAAATTTCCAAAACCTCACCCAGTGCCGTAAGTGCCAGGGATGGGGTCACGGAACTAAAAATTGCTACATGCCAGCTAAATGCATGAATTGTGGTGATTCCTCTCACGCAAAGGACGACTGTCCTGTGAAGGAAGATCCTAAGAAATTTAAATGTTCAAATTGTGGTGAAAACCACAAATCCAATTTTTGGGAATGTAAGACTCGCAAAGCGATCCTACAATCTCGTTCTAACCGCCAGGTAGGAAACGCTCCACGTTTCCGACCAGGTACAAATTCCTCTGCTGTTAACAACGGTCAGCGAGGAACAAATTCTACATTCGTACCCGTAGGTACAAATTTCACCTCTGCTTCAAATTTTTCATCTGTACCTACTCCCCTCGCTGCTAACAATGTTCAGCGAGTTAATGGAGCTACCTATGCTGCTATTGCAGCGGGTAGAAATCAAAATACTAACCAACGTTCTAACGGAAATTTTGACAATTTTGACTTAGAAAGCATTACTGCCCCCAAAATGGAATTTTTACAGAATTCATTAATTGACATGATTTCTGATATGCTTAAATCTAACTCCATGTTTGATGCTATTCAAACTGGAGTAAAATTTGCAAATAATATTGTCATGACTTTAAAATTCAGCAATGGATTTTAAAGCATTAAATATTGTAAATTGGAATGCTCGATCTCTTAAAGATAATGAAGACGAGCTTTTTAACTTTTTGAGAGTTCATAACGTGCATATTGCCGTTATAACTGAAACGTTCCTTAAACCTGCCCATAAGGTTAAGAAGGACGCAAATTACTTGATTTATAGAAATGATCGTCTTGATGGACCCTGTGGTGGCGTTGCCATCATTATTCATAGACGAATCAAACACAAAATACTTTCTTCATTTGAAACCAAAGTTTTTGAAACTTTGGGAGTTTCTGTTGAAACAAAATTTGGACAACTTACGTTTATAGCTGCCTATTTGCCATTCCAATGCGTAGGCCAGCAAAAGAATTTTCTCAAGTTTGACCTCCAGAAACTTACCCGTCATAGGTCTAAATTCTTCATTATTGGTGATTTTAATGCAAAACACCGCTCATGGAATAATGCTCAAAGCAATTCCAATGGTAATATTCTGTTTGATGATTGTTCTGCAGGTTATTACACTATTCAATATCCAAACAGCCCAACATGCTTTTCTTCTGCAAGAAATCCCTCCACTATTGATTTGGTCTTAACTGATTCATGTCAACTTTGTAGCCAATAGGTTACCCATGCTGACTTCGGTTCTGATCACCTTCCAGTAACTTTTGAATTATCCCAAGAAATAATTTGTAATCCCAACAGCTCTACTTTCAATTACCATAGAGCTGATTGGGAGCAGTATCGAACATTTATGGAATATAACTTCGATCCAAACATTCCTTTGCAAACCAAAGATGAAATTAATTATGCTCTTGAATCTCTGACTACTTCTATAGTTGAAGCAAGAGCTGCCTCAGTACCAAAATGCGAGGTTAAATTCGATTCAATTATAATAGACGATGATCTTCAGCTCTTGATCCGTCTTAAAAATGTCCGTAGGAGACAATATCAAAGAACACGCGATCCTGCCATGAAAGTTATCTGGCGGGATTTGCAAAAACAAATTAAAAAGCGATTCTCTGCCCTGAGGAACAAAACTTTTGAAATTAATATTTCTAAATTAGACCCGAGTTCCAAACCCTTTTGGAAACTCACAAAAATTTTGAAAAAACCTCAAAAGCCAATTCCAGCGCTTAAAGAAGGTGGTAAAATTTTGATCACAAATTTGGAAAAAGCTCAGAAACTTGCTAAGCAATTCGAGAGTTCCCATAATTTCAGTTTGGGTCTTACTAGTCCTATTGAGAATTAGGTTGCTCGGGATTTTCTGAATATTTTCTCTCGGGAAAATATTTTTGATGATTCCTGGGGGACTGATTTGGACGAAGTAAGGTCTATAACTAAAAATTTTCAAAATATGAAAGCTCCAGGTGATGATGGAATTTTCTATATCATCATCAAAAAACTCCCAGAGAGTACCTTGTCTTTCTTGGTAAAATTATTTAACAGATGTTTCCATTTGGCATACTTTCCTGATAAATGGAAAAATGCAAAAGTTGTTCCAATTTTGAAGCCGGATAAAAATCCAGCTGAAGCTTCTAGCTACCGTCCAATAAGTTTGCTTTCTTCAATAAGTAAACTTTTTGAAAAGATAATTTTAAATAGAACGATGCTTCACATCAATACGAACTCAATTTTTGCAGATGAGCAGTTTGGATTTCGCCATGGGCATTCAACTACTCATCAACTCTTGAGAGTTACCAATTTAATTCGTTCAAACAAATCGGAAGGCTACTCAACTGGAGTTGCTCTTCTAGACATAGAAAAGGCTTTCGACAGTGTTTGGCATGAAGGTTTGATTGCTAAATTGAAAAAGTTTAATTTTCCACTTTACATTATGAAATTAGTTCAAAATTATTTAACTGACAGAACTCTGCAGGTAAATTATCAAAATACCAAATCTAATCGACTACCTGTTAGAGCAGGAGTTCCTCAGGGTAGCATTCTTGGGCCTATATTGTATAACATTTTCACTTCGGACCTCCCTGATTTGCCTCAGGGTTGCCACAAATCTTTGTTCGCTGATGACACAGGCATTTCCGCTAAAGGAAGAAGTCTTCGTGTTATTTGCAGCAGACTTCAGAAAAGTTTAGATATTTTCTCTTCTTATTTACAAAAATGGAAGATTTCTCCAAACGCTTCCAAAACTCAACTTATAATATTTCCACATAAGCCCAGGGCTTCCTTTTTGAAACCTAGTAGTAGTCACATAGTCACTATGAACGGAGTTCCAATTTCCTGGTCAAACCAAGTGAAATATCTTGGATTAGTTCTTGACCAAAAATTTACTTTTAAAGATCACATTGAGGGCATTCAAGCCAAATGTAACAAATATATAAAATGTTTGTATCCTCTTATAAACAGGAAATCCAAACTTTGCCTGACGAATAAACTTCTAATATTTAAACAAGTTTTTAGACCGACCATGCTTTACGCTGTGCCAATATGGTCTAGTTGCTGCACTACCAGGAAAAAAGCACTTCAAAGGATTCAGAACAAAATTCTGAAAATGATTTTGAAGCTGCCTCCCTGGTACAGTACAACCGAAGTACATAGAATTTCGAATGTTGAGACTTTAGCACAAATGTCCAACAAAATAATTAATAATTTCAGGCAAAAATCGTTGCAATCCTCAATTGCAACGATTAATTCCCTTTATACTTAGATAAGATTTAGTTTTAGTTTTTAGTTTTAAGATATCAATTGTTATACTGACATGCAGGTTAAAAAACCTGTTTAAAATACTGAATTGCCAAGACATGAACAATGTAAAAACACTTAGATATATATCATAACAATTAAGGCTGGTACGTTACTGCAGTAACT